CTCCACCCCCTGTTTACAATTGGTGTTAATTAGGTGTCAACGATAGCCACCATGTTATGTGAGTATCAGTCACATGGAGGCAGTGCTTAAAAGCCTGAATTTTGCCTGAAACTCTCAGACTGAAGAAGTCTCTTGGAGGAGAGACGAAACGTTTCATTAGAGAAGAACCCATCCAGAAGACCTATACAATTTTTTTCTTTTTGATTTTTTACCTGGATTACTGAGATGCATGAGGACATGCACTAAAATAATAACGAGACTATACAATGGTACATAGCTATGTAAACAAGAAAACACAGATTACATTAAGAAGAAGTGGGAAAAAGAAGTAAACGTGAAAATACCTGAGGAAAATTGGGGGAAAATTTGTCAAATACAATGGTTGTTTCCTGGATCAAATTTATGGCGAGAATTTGGATGGAAGAATGTGATAAGATTTTTTGTGACACCAGCACAAAAACAATATCAGGGTGCAGGAAAAGATTGTTGGAGACTCTGTGGTACGGCTAAGGCCAATCACTACCATATTTTTTGGAACTGTCGAGTTATTCAGGACTATTGGATTAAACTTCACAAACATATYAATAATATATTTGTCTCAAACATTCCTTTTAAGTGGGAGACCTTATATCTAGGAGACTTGACTCTGAACCATTGGGATGCACACGATAAAAAATTACTTTATATGTTACTAGTGGCTAGCAAAAAAGCAATAACCAAAAAATGGTTTAAAACTGAGCCACCAACCATTGATGACTGGACTGACACAGTACATGATATATTCTTAATGGAAAAACTGTCGTACTCACTCAAAGTGCAAATACATAAATTTTATTCAATCTGGAGTAAATGCACTTCATATGTGAAACCCATCAGATCTGACTTTGTATAATTACAGTGAGCAGGACAGAACGTCTTTGTTTCGTTTTTCATTGATCTCAATTTGGACTTCGCTAGTGTTTGTGACGCCCCATTCTCTTAACACCTTGGATCTCCATTTCTGCGGGACCATGCACGCCCCCCCCCCCCCCCCCATTTATCTATTTATTCGTACTTTTATTTTTCTCTGTTGTATTTTTTTTTAGTTTATTCTGTTCTTTATTGTTGATGTTGTTCAAAAGAAAATGGATATTATGTACAAAAGACATGTTTCTCACTGTTCAAGTACTTTTTCAATAAAAATAAAATAAAAATAAAATGGTGAAAACAGTTTGCAAAGATTAGACAACATAAAAAGTGTTGATCAGGGCTGGGCAATCCTGGTCCTCAAGGGCTGCTTACCCTGTATGTTTTACTTGTCTCTCTGATCCAACACACCTGATTGAATTACCTCTTCAAATTCTACAGAAACCTGTTAACCACCCATTTATTCAAATCAGGTGTGTTGAATCAGAGAAACAAGTAAAACATGCAGGATAGCAGCCCTTGAGCACCAGGACTGCCAACCCCTGGTGTAGATTATATCACATGCAAAGTCTCAAAACTTAAATTGCAGTTCTGTAATATTTGTAAAAAATATGAAAACTCAAATTCAGTTCCATAAAGTCAAATTTTCTGCGACACACTGAAACTTTGAATGATAGTGTGAAATGTGCCTGACCTACAAAGCTCCAAAGAGGGCAGGGTTTTTGCATCCTAAAGTTGTCCAAACATTTTTTACAAATTTCTTCGACCTAGTATGATGTTTGACGCTTTGGCTTTTTCTTTACATGTACTGTATTTTTG